CACGTGCAAAAATAATATATTCAAACCCTGCAAGTGACATATCATTCTGACCAATCAGAATGTCTGGTTTGTTACTTTTTTTTGCACTGAGTTAATCCTATTCTACAGGTAATTCTTAACCAATCAGAACTGAGAATTTTTTTCATGTATATATTAATTTTCTACTCATCCGCTGGAAAATTCAAATATTCATAAATTCTCATTGCTATTGTCGCACTTAGGAGAAATACTTGTATAGTCAAATTTATTATTTTCCTCTGAATGTTCTTCCATGTAAATTGTTTCAAATATCATCAGCACTCAGTAGGTATCGTAGCTATACTTAAGTTACTGTTGATCATTTGATTTTGTAAATCTTTATGGTCCCTAAAACTTGTTTCATCCTTTCAACTTAGTTCTGTTTTATTTTCTTTAGTTAGACTTAATATTTTAAACATTTCATTTATTTGTAAAAAATTGTATTAAGTGAATAAAAAAACAAACAAATAAAAACTTCATTTCTAACATACTGCCTCTTTTTTTTCCCTTTGTTGTCTTTTATTTAAAGGGGAAGAAATAAAAAAAAAATTGCCCTTTTAAAAGGGCATGGTAACTAGTCAAAATATAGGCTATCTCTATTACTTTTTTTTGCGTAGGGAGGGTTGCCAAAAGGAAAAAACTTTGCAGAATTGAACAGCATCTAGCGTTAAAACAAAAATTTATACTTAAATTTTGATGGGAGAAAATCGTCTGCATGAAGCAAGATTTTTTCCCGCCAAAAGACTTGTATACTTTTGGATCAACACCAGACACTATTCAAAAGCGCAGACTTTTTTTTCCAGAGACAGTTTTCCCGCCAAAAGACTTTGTATTTTTGCAAATATTTTGAGCCTCTCAATCAAACTAAAAAAGAATTTCCCGCCAAATGACTTTTTTTTTTCAAATTTGTTTTAACTGCGGTTGGCCCTTTTAAAATCGCAAACTTATAATACAGAGCTTCCTTACAAACACGGTTCGCCTTGGCGCGTCTTTATTTCCTATTCAGTTGTAACATAATTTTTGATAAGCTTGATTTCAGTCAACAGACTTCTTGATTCCTAAAGTATCATCTTTTCTTGAATCTTCTTGCTTCATATGATCGTGAGATCTTTCCATTCTAAAGATATAAAACATGATTTAGTAACAGCTATTTTTTAGTATACAGAGAACTAAGAAAAAAATACAATTTGCAGTTGAAGTAATTTTCCTTTTTTCTCAAAGAATCATAGTGTTATATGTTAGAATCGAGTAGCAGGTTGATTTTATAAACAAAAACATTTTCTGCGATAACATAAAAAGGTCACTGTTTGCATTATGCGTAACAATCAACCACTTTCATCCACACCGAGGTAAATAATTGTTTTGGTATGTATCGCACAGAAACACAAAAAATATTTTATTTCCGAACGTCAATTCTCCCACAATGTTTGCCAAACATTTCTGACGATTCTATGGGAAAATTCATTACTTGACGAGGGAATTCCGCATTAAATTGCACGAGAAAACCGATATCGCACGAATCACGAAGCGATGAGTGCGATATCGGTTTTCAAGTGCAATTTAATGCGGATGAGTGAAGTAATGGATTTTCCTTGAATCGCATAACTGAATAGAAATGAGTAAAAAAAGGAAACAGCATTACTTAAAATTGTTATGTTTACGTACCGTACGGTAGATGCGAAAAAATATCAGTTAGCCTCGTTTTCAACTCGCAATTCCACGCGAAATACCTCGCTTCGTTAACCAATCAGAATGCGAGATTTTATTCAATGATGCGATTCTAGCTCTGAGAACTTTGCCTTAAACAATATCCGATCGTTGATATTTTTCTTCTTCTCATTACCTTTTTGCTTGCAATTCAAGTTATTGATATTGTATGGAGAAATTCCTTGTTGTTCACTCTCAGGATTATAGGGGTTAAGCAGGCTGTTCACGGCAAACGATAAGGGTTAACTCTGATTTTACTTACTTTTCTATAATTCTCAGATTGACACCGGACAAAAATCTCTTTTGAAAAACTGACGCAAATCTTTTCGTTTCTTTTCAAAAATGGTTGAACGCAGACGGCAGGACGTTCAATTTGGGTGGTTTTCTATTAACTTCATGTCCAACCTCTACAACTTCAAAAACAAATTCTTCTTTCAGTTCTCGATAATTTCTCTTTATTTTCTGAAATCTTAGATTTTGTTTCAGCGGAGTGTACTGTTAGGTGAATTGGCTGACAGGTTACCCGATATTATTTTATCTTAAAAGCTAGGATTTCCTTTACCAATAAAGAAACTGTTTGGGGCTGCGTCGGTGGGGGTAACGAAATAATTTGGATATATCAACAAAGTTGAAATGGCATTTCAATTTACCTAATCATTCTAAGCAACATATGGCAATCTGCGGTCTTTCCTTACACTTGGGCAGCACGGAAAGCCGTAAAACTCTTGAACAAAAGCTCATCTTTCAAACCGGCAGTCTAAATCCCACAGGGATCAACGAACGCTATTCATTCCACTAATTTATTCGTGTTTTTCTCGTTGCCATTTTCCCACCAGTAACGTATAGCTCCATTCTCTGCCTTTAAAAGCACAAACAACCCACAATTCCTTTATTCGCTCCGACGAAGGGCTAACGCTCGAAACGTCAGCTTTTTGTAATCGTTACAGTGGCTAATTTACCATTTCAACTTTGTTGATATATCCAAATCATTTTATGTAAAATTATCACCTGTCTTAGAAATTCAAGCAGAGTTAATTCTGAACTATCATTAATTTACCCAGATCGATTTTTTCAAAGTTCTACTCAGGTGTATTGAGAAATTTTGCTGATTACTAAGCTTAATGCTGGCCAATCGGTTAGGCGACGTGTCCTCGTCAATATACTAGCATGTTTCTTTTAGGTAACTAAGCGCAATGTTAAGGTGGTTCCTAAAAGCTTATCACCTTTTTTTCTTCAAATGTTTTCCCCAAGTCTACAAAGAATGTCGAATACGGGAATCTAGGGTATCAAGATACACACGATGTCAAACGTTTGTTGCCATGACAACGTAAAGAGAAGTAAAACTTCCCCTGATTTGTTTCTGACCTTCTACGAACAATAACTTTGTGATTGTCGCTCCAAGTTTCTCTTTTAAATGTATTTAAGAAAACAATCTGTCAATTTAAGAAAAAAATGGTGAATAGGATCTATCGACACATTCATATATTTTTGCGATGACAAAACAATTCTGGTTTTTTGTTCCAAAGTAAACAAACTGAATATACCAGAAAGAAGTTTTAACCAACAAGTATTTCAATATCACCGGACTAAAGAAGATGACAATAGCATGTGTAAACCACTTCTAACTTTGCCATGGAATATAGTTTTGGTGTACTTCTCAAACGACTCTGTACAGTGTATTGATAAACGTTTCACAGTGAGGTTTAATAAGAAATGTCCTTCCACTCAGGCACTACTAACCCGCTGTAATGCATTCAAACATCAAGGGTGATAGGGTATAAACTACAACTGGCCACCTTTATATTTGCAAACGATTAATGTTAAAAACATAATTGAACTAATCCTTAATGTCTTTTTTTCAATGCAAACCTAAATTTTCGAACGAACTCTTACTCAATTTTAATATTCTTTTGTTTTTTCCTTCCAACTTTTCCGTCTTCGGATTAGGAAAAAAATATATAAAACTGAGTGCAGAAAATCTTCAAAGATTCGACAAAGATTCGGAAAGATGAGTGTTAACCGTCTCTTGAAAATCTTAAAAAGGACTGATAACTGATATGTATTGACTGGTCTTTGATCCTTCAGTGAATATACTGTAATTTTTTTGAGATGATTTGTTTTTATATTGGGTCACGCAACTCTTTTACAAATCAACCTTAGACATTATTTTTCTCTTTCCTGTAAACATGCCATTAAATTGTAATAAATAAATAAATAAATACTCCACTCCAGTGTTCTCGCCAGAAAAATAAAATTTTTTCGATTTAACTTTTTTACGACTATCAGTTGAAATTTTTATTTGGTTTAAATTTTTAGGCCGTTTTACGGCGATCAGTTAACCCCATTGCCATTGACACTCTCTTGAAGAAAAGACTGCAAACGGAAGACGCTCTTCACTGTTCTACAAGTTCCCTCGCAAGGACTACAAGCTGACTACAGGAAATTTCCAAACAACAGTATGGTGAACTTGCATGATGTTATTGGAGTGCAAAGGGTCAAAACGTTTTAGAGGTGTAATAGGATAACCATAGTTCTGGTCATTTTGGGAAATATTTTTTCACAGTGGGGATGTAATTGTGTGAAGATGATTAATTCCTCAAAATTATTTAGTAGCACACCCCTGGAAAGATTGCTTACTTTTCCTCATATCCTAAATATATTGGCGTTTTTTTGGTTTTTGTCTCCGTTGAGTAGTTTGTTTGATATCAATGAAATCAGTTCTAAGGACTGCTCAACTAGATCATGAATTTTAATGAAAGCTCTAAAGTTCCTGAGTGGCGCTGGTTCGGTACTTTTTGGGCTGAAGCTCTCTCAAAACACACGAAATTGTTAGTAACTTATAATGAACAGTAGAAGAAGCTGAATAACTTACAAGAGTTCAAAGAAGACTAAACTTCTGTCTTCTCATGCATGGTTTGAATCTTTTGACTTGCCATCGCTGACGCCAACTTGCATGCGAGGACCGTTACACACCAAAGATCGACATTTAAGACACCAAACGCTGTCAGATCTTCTACCCGTCTAGGACATGTTAGAAGAGGAGTTGTCTGACCGAAAAATGCATTTTAAGGCTTTAAAGCAAGCAGGATAGTGTAGTTCCGCCTTCCACGTGTAAAGATTCCGACACACTTAAAATGAATCAAGTATATTTGCAATTTAAATCAAACTTTCCGCGTGCCTCGCTATCAGTTTTCAAAATGACACCGAGAGGAGTGGGGCAGAATGTTTGACTTCTGGTGGCGATAATTTTATCCCAGAGATCTAAGATCCTTGCACGACAAGAGGTTTTGCAAGTAAAAAAGATTCGATAAGCGCCCACTACCAGCTTATTTCGTCAATACGGATAGTCTGTTATTACGCAGAGATAATTTAAAATTGCCGGCTTCGAAGTTTGACCTGATGGTGGTCGAGGGGCTCTTAATTACAAGCTATAAAAAAAATAAACAAATTTGGGATCATTTTCGGCAAAACTGCCGTGTTTTCATTGGCGCTCAAAGCATAATGTTCATAATTTATCTAACCCTACTGAGTACATGAAAATATGAATGTGTTATGGTCTTCTTTATTCTGCCACTTTTTCGCATTTTACCCCAAAACTACAACCACCAGGAAATGGCTTCGAAACGGCATATTTTTCTCTCATATTCTTCTTATATTATTCATCGGATCGATACCTAAAGATGTTCTGTTACTAGATTAGATTCTGGCTGGAATTCTTCATTTCTTTATTCCTTCATTCTTCATTTGCCTTTCTGGAATACAAATATCTTAATGACATTACGCCATCAATATCATCCGAGCACAACACTTAACTAAAGAAAACAAACTATTTTTTCCTGACCTATCAGATTCGGTATAAATTAAGCTTGCGCTTGCATATCAATGACGCTAAATTATGCCATGCGATGGTCTGAACCTCAACGAATACTTAAACGTCATAAATTCCCTGTGATTGCAATCCACTTCGTCATCGCTACATTTTGACCTCTCCTCAAAAAGACTCGCAGTCGACCAGAGAAGCATCTTCATTACGTAAAAATATGGCCGAAAACGCTTCGAAGGAGCTACGCAAAACAGCGAAGAGTCCGTATTGCTGGGACATGATGCGGTTACTCGACAATGCCCGCAAAAATGGTGAATTGACAGATGTTACTCTGCGTGTGGAAGGAGAAACATTCCCCGCGCACCGATGTGTTTTGGCAGCCAGTAGCCAGTTCTTTCACGGTTTATTTACTAACGATATGAAAGAGAAATCGGCGTCAATCGTAACTATCGAAGGTATTCCTGTAACGGCGATGGATCAGCTCTTGTCCTACCTTTACACAGGAGAGGCTCAAATTAGCGAGGCGAATGTCGATGATCTGATCGCGTCCGCGAACTACTTACTTCTTCCCCGTCTAAAAAACATCGCTTGCAAGTTTAAGGAGCGGCATATGTCGGCCACAAATTGCGTTGCTACTTTTCTATATGCTGAGAAATACGATTGTAAGGAATTAAAAACATACGCTGGCGAATTAATCAAGCAGAACTTCGCGACAGTCGGCAAGTCAAAGGAATTCGTGCAAATTTCCTGTGATCAAATGAAGGATCTAATTTCAGGCGATGACATAGTAATTGGAACCGAAGAAGAAATCTTTGAAATCATCCTAGAATGGATCGCTCAAAATCAAGACGAGAAGGAGCGACATTTTGCGAAGTTGTTCAGACTCGTTCGACTGAGCAGCATATCCGAGCAATATTTGTACACAAAGCTTATGTGTCATGAACTTGTGCAGGCAAATAGCGAGTGCAGGCAAATATTAATGGACGAAATTCGCTGGCGTGCCTTGTACTCTGGACAAGAGATCTCCAGACAAAAACCAAGGACTTGTCTTCAGACTCACGAAGATGCAATCATCACATGCGGTGGCCTTTCGCCTGATGAACGTATTCGAAACTTTACTGTGTGTTATGTTCCGGCTACAAAAACCTGGTATGAGTTGGCACCTATGCTTTTGAGACGGTTTCGCCATGGTTTCGCTTCCTGCCAGGGATATGTTTATGCCATCGGTGGTAAAGGAGAAGACTCGGTCTACAACAGCGTGGAACGTTATGACCCGCGCACCAACTCATGGGGCTTTGTAGCACCTCTGCCTCAGAGAGTGACGTTGATGGGCGCTGCCACTTTACAAGGGCTGCTGTACGTCGCTGGCGGGATTGCGTTCAGCAGTGAGCACGGGGGCAGGCGCTGTGACACCTCTCAGAGGTACAATCCCTCCACAAACTCTTGGACTATAGTTGCACCTCTAAAGAGACGCAAGTCCTCTGTTTGTCTGGTGTCAGACACTCACTATTTATATTGCATTGGTGGCCTGGCCGACGATGGTTTCCTCTCTGATGTGGATCGTTATGATCCAAAGTTGAACGTATGGACACAAATGGCTCCTACAAGCGAACAGCGCGGGTGTGCTTGTGGTGTGTGCCTTGAAAAAAAGATTTACATCTTTGGAGGAACTGTTGACCCATTTTCATTAAATGCCCTCGTAAGTTGCGAGGTTTATGATATTACTTTGAATGAGTGGCAATCCATCGCTCCTTTACAAGTTCCCAGATTTCACGGAAGTGCGGTCCTTTTACGTGATGAGGTTTACTTATTTGGCGGAACCGGAAGTCAAAGCGTTGATCGGCAGAATTCTCGAATAGTGGAGTGTTACGATATCAAAAAAAATACCTGGCTCGATGCTCATTCCATGCCATATAATGAGACATACTTCAGAGGTTGTCCAGTAAGCATGTTTAAAGATCTATTGCAGTCTGTCAACAAAGTTACAACTCTTCCTCAAAGTAGTTAGGTATGTTGAGTCCGTATAACAGTTAGCCTCGCGGGATTTAATGCAAATTTCTGCCAACCATAACAGTTAAAAGCCAGCGCAGCCTGCATGTGGCATAAACTTAATAAAGGCTGTGTGAGACACCGTAATAGAAATGTATTTTCATTCCAGTTATAAGATGAAAACATCCGTACTTGCGAACTGTTATTCAAGTCGCCAAATCTGTTTACGTCTTCATATAACTGGGAGCACTTGTCTAGCCTATTCAGTTGAAAGGAACATGCAGGATCTCATTTATTTCCAAGCGTTTTATTGCTAAAGAAAATGTACAACTGCGTCGGTGGGTGATATTAGGGACCTTAAGCAGTCAGGACGGCAACGCCAAGGAAGACTTCGATTAAAAAATGAATTTCTACTCTTAGTTAGAATTTCAAAAATGGCTGCATGAGCTTACTGTCTCATACGGCGCCACAGCTCAACTTCAGCATGACGTATAAAAGTAGCGTTGAGTTCCAAATGGAAATTAAAATAATTTGCCGTCGCGGTTTCGGTTCGCAGACGACGCAAATTTTGGCGATTTCACGTTGTTGTTTTGCATAGGACGGCTAAGAAATGTACAAAGTTTCAAAATGCACGTGCTGAGCTATTGTTCTGCCAATTNGTCCTTTTACGTGATGAGGTTTACTTATTTGGCGGAACCGGAAGTCAAAGCGTTGATCGGCAGAATTCTCGAATAGTGGAGTGTTACGATATCAAAAAAAATACCTGGCTCGATGCTCATTCCATGCCATATAATGAGACATACTTCAGAGGTTGTCCAGTAAGCATGTTTAAAGATCTATTGCAGTCTGTCAACAAAGTTACAACTCTTCCTCAAAGTAGTTAGGTATGTTGAGTCCGTATAAGAGTTAGCCTCGCGGGATTTAATGCAAATTTCTGTCAACCATAACAGTTATTATAACATAACCAAAGTAAAGCGCGCGCTCTGATTGGTCAATTTAGCGTCCCCCATTTGCCCATGGGTGTACGCTGCTGACGTGAGCAAATGCAAAGACTATTTTTCCGCGCGCGCTTGTTTTTTCTGGTCGCGTAAGATTTGTTAAATAAAAGGGAACTCTTTAGCTACAATGTATCAATGTTATGTTATAAAACAAATGGTAAACACCACAGCGTACACTATTGAGTTATGGATGCACTTGGGAGGTTTGCTAAGCACTCAAGAAGCTAGAGTCGCTCTCGGCTATCGCCTCGAGCGACTCTTACGCTTCTTTCGTGCTTAGCAACCTCCCGCGTGCATCCATAACTCAATAGTGTACGCTGTGGTGTTTACCATTTGTTAAAAAGCCAGCGCAGCCTGCATGTTGGCAAAAACTTAAGACAGGCTGTGCGAGACACCGTGATAGAAATGTATTTTCATTGCAGTTATAAGATGAAAACATCCGTACTTGCGAACTGTTATTCAAGTCGGCAAATCTATTTACGTCTTCATATAACTGGGAGCACTTGTCTAGCCTATTCAGTTGAAAGGAACATGCAGGATCTCATTTATTTCCAAGAGTTTTATTGCTAAAGAAAATGTACAACTGCGTCGGTGGGTGATATTACGAGATAATGTGGTGTAATCAACGAATAATTAATGTAACTTGGCCGCCGTAAAGAGTTTTTGAGACTGACGTAAGCGTAATCCCTTCAGAGCGAACAATGAACGAGCGTCAGTGAGATTACTTGAAATTACCTCCTGAATTTACATCCGATGAAGGACGTCCAGTCACGCTATTGGAAGAAAGTCACGCCATTTTTATTTGCCTGTGAATATGTGCCCGGTACGGTCTCAAATAAACTAATGCCCGCCATTAATAAATTTCACAAAATTTCTACAGAAATATCCTTTCAAACTTCTTAAGAATATCAGATGTTTGTTTAAAAATGTCAAGCAATTCCGAAAGTCAGTTTGGTTTTTCAGTGGACAAATTCTCCAAGCTTCAGCATACTATAATGTTGACTCGCGCTTTCGTGGCGAAGCGTTACTTAAGTGTTAAGGCTACTGATGCACAGATAACCGTTTTATTTCTGGACTGGTTTCCAACGGTAACATCGGCAACAGTCAAACTGCAAAGCAAATGAATGAATTGTGTTTTAAATCTGAAATTACACTTGAAGGGCTGAGATATTCGCAGTGAATTGTTACTTACAATTTTGTTGGGTAATCCACACATCTTTACACAGCTCTTTACACGTTATTTCAGCGGATGTGTTCGGTTGATTGTTAGACAAGTATTTAAGTTCGTCGCTCCTATTTAAATATTTAAAAAGCTGATTCGTCCCCAGCTTCTTTGTGACTGCATTTAGGCGCCAAAACAGAACAGCTACACAAAAAGTTATTTACTTAAAGTATAAGTGAAAAATTCTTGGTACACTACGCGCGAATCAAAGGTATCATAATGTTAATGCTTCAACTGGCATGCGTAATCAAACCCTGATACTGCTATCGTATCATCGTTTTTATTGTAGGTGAAAACACTGGAATAACAGATCACTCAAGACAGTCACGGTGATAAATAGATAATTTGGTTTACGTTATAATCTTCGATTGCACCTTACAATGCGACTAACAGCATTGAATTTTTTTTTTTTTTCGTAATTGTTTCAAAACTCCAACTAATGACTAGATTTAACATAAATTAGATTATTTCATACCATTTCCGCTTAAGCTCGATTTCACACGCTGGAGGATGGACGACATAAACAAGCTCAAAACTCGTAGCAACCTTTGCAACTGGCCAATCATATGATGATTAGATCAAAGCAAGCTTAAGGTATTGACCAATGAAATGGAAGAAAGTTGTTAATAGCTCTTTGTTACTTTGATTAATTCATAATCGAGCTCACTCAATACAGTCCTAAAATGAACTTTACAAACGTCTCTAGAAATGTAATGCGAGTGGCTCTAAAGAATCATAAGACACATCGTTCACACTTTTCCAAAGACAATAACAACTGATTAAATACAACATTCAGAGAAGCCTATTTAAATTTTATACACAA